ACAACTGCCGGCAAATGTAGTGTCAGTTCTGATCAAAGACTGTACGAAACAACCAATTCATGGATTAACAATCGGTCAGTTATTTCTATGTTTTGACACAAATATGTTCGCATTGTTTGAGTTTGAATTCAATAACACAATGATTAAAACTCATAAAAGACTATCAATTTATAGAGTATTTGTTTTAAGAGAATTTAACTCTAATTATTTTAATCGATGTCATTGTTTTCCAGTCAAACAGTGTTTGGTTTGGCTGTCCGTCGGATATCTGTTTGAATGCAGCGATCGATGCAATGATTCCCATAAATGATATGTTTTACTATATATTTAATGGCAATTATTACTGGAAATGGGATTTAAGTCAAACACATCCAGAAATTCAAAGAATTGAAAATTTAATACCGGATTTGCGAAACATTGACACACTTTTTGTCGATTCAAGAAAATCAGAGATTTTTGTTGTAAAAGGAGACAAATTCACTACTTTTTCGGACAACAAGAATGAATCGAAACAATGGACACAACTCTCGACTCTTTTCCCTAACAGTGAATACCCTTTGGATGCCATTCATTGTAATCGCAATTTCAGTTCATGTGAATTATATAAAGTTTGTGTTTTTATTTTATAGTTTATAACATTAATTTACTCATAATTTAATTGCCATTTGTTTCAAAGGGCGATAAAAGGAAATTGTATTCAAAGGATTTGAGCGATAAGTTTGTGTTTAAAGACGAAACTCCACTCAATAGTGTCGGTATTCCCGACAATTTGGACACAAGTTTTACCGATGAAAACGGGGATCAGATTTATGTCAAAAATAATTATCTCTTTTGGAAAGAATACGGAATTTTTAGGCAAAAAATAATTCAACTCTTTTTTAAATGTCGCGATAATTACTACAAAAATTTCTTGAATTCTGAATTGAATTCGTGGCAAAAGTTTAGTGAAGACATTAAAAACTATGATGTGATTAATTTCAAAGAGCTTACTATACCGGCGCCGACTACACCCATACCCACGACTCCTGTGACCACTGAATCTCCCGATACAACACAATTCACATCCCCTTCACAAACCTCTCCCACGCCTACGAAAGACTATAAGAATTATATTATAATTGGTTTTAAAACATTAATAATTTCTGTAAATATTATTTATTAATTTAATAATTTATCCAATAATTAGCGGTCGCCGTATTTGTGGTCGTTTTCATAGTGTTTGTCGTGATCTGTGTTTTTGTCATTTGGTTTTGTTTAATATCAGATCCGGAAGAAGAGAAAGCGTTACGAAAAGAGATGATTAGATCAAAACTGGACGCTTTGAAAGCCAAACAATCGTCTTCTGAAAACGATAGTAAAAGTACAACAAAACGAGAAATAACCAAATTATAACATGGTTTCAATTCTTGTAATTTATATTAGTTCAATTTCAATTTATTTTGATTTTTAATTTTGCAAAAATTAATTATTATTTATGAATAAAAACTGTATTATAAATTAGAATACAAATGTAAATTTTAAAATGTATTTATCGCTATAATGTGTAAAATTTAATGATTTATGTTTGTTGGCTCACAATTATAACCATTTATTAATTGTGTATTTTTTACTGACAGACATAGCATTTATTGTTGCAATTTATCTAATTTTTCACAACGTATTTAATAAATATATTTAAAATTATATTCAAACAAAAACAAGTTCTCTTCAATTGACATAGTATTTAAAATCCATTACATTATAACAACAAATCCATACAAAATCTTAACATGAAATTAATATTTCAAACATTACTACTGATTATATGCGGAATTCAGTTAAATGTTTGTCAAAATGTGGATTCATTTATACATAAGTAATCAAATAATAAGTTCAATTAATTCAATGTGTAGTTTAAAAAGTATTACTTTTCTAACAGTAAATGTCTGCAAAAGTCATCACCAGATTCTATGGCACTGTTGCCCAACCAAACTGTGCTCTCATTTCAAGACCCATATCTGTTTGCCATTGCATACAATGCAACCACCGATCGGATAGCGCTTCACATGAATGCCACACAACAAATGGATTCATTAAAAATTAGCAAATATTTTGATTTAGGAAAAACACATTTGGGTTCACTCTTTGCCACATCAATGGTCGACAATGTGATGGAAATGGTTTTTAAAACGACAACTCTTTCAATAATTTCATTTATTAATTACCAATTAATTGGCGATTCGTTTGTCAAACAAAATATAACCAGAAAATTGTCAGATATTATGATATATTATCCGTTTTATATAAATCTCACACAAAATCTCACACAAACGGAAAGAGTCAATATGGTTTGTTTGAGTATTTGAGTTGTTTTAAGCTTATTTGATTAATCCAAATCTCTCTCTCTCTCTCTCTCGCAAATCGGGTATCAATTGAATGGCACTTTTAACTTCAAGCATTGACTTGTAATTCAAATTCAATTCCCAATATCTCTCTCTCTCTCTCTCTCTCTCTCTCTCTCTCTTATAGAAATTGGCATTTTTTAAGTGCAAACACTTTCAATGCTTGTTTGCGTCAATTAATGTTATGCATAGTATAGGGCTTAGGATTTATACCTCAAAACTAAATCAGATTTTGAGTGTAAATGAAAAGCCATTGAATTCAACCGTAATATCATTACTGATCAAAGAGTGTCACCAAAGCGCAGGATTTACAATATGTCTGACATTCTTGTGTTTTAACACAAATCTGTTTGCATTGTTTGGTATTGTATTCAATGACCAAACGATTGCAACAATTCAGAGAAAATCAATTTATAGGGTATTATAAGAAACGACATTTCATTCACTAATTACTAATTAATAACATTTTATTTTTAGTCAAACAGCGAATGGTTTGGCTGTCCGTCGAGTCTTTGTTTGAGTGCATCAATCGATGCAATGATTCCCAGAAGTGAACAGTTTTTCTATATATTTAAAGGCAATTATTATTGGGAATTGAATTTGAATTACAAGTCAATGCTTGAAGTTAAAAGTGCCATTCAATTGATACCCGATTTGCGAAACATTGACACAGTTTTTAGCGATTCAACAAATTCAGAGATATTTGTCGTAAAAGGAGATCAATTCACAACTTTTTTAGACAACAAAAATCAACTAAAAATATGGACAAAACTCTCGGATCTCTTTCCTAATATTGATCACTCCTTAGATGCCATCGATTGTAACCGTAATTACAGTTCATGTCATTTATACAAAGTATGTATTTTAGTTATTTAATTATCATTTGTAACGATATTAGTTATTAATAATAACTTATTATTAAAATAAATATCATTTGTTGTTTTAAAAGGACGATAAAATAATGTTGTATTCAAAGGACTCAAACAATAAATTTGTGTTTAAAAGCGAGAGTTCACTCAAAAGTCTGGGACTTCCCGACGGTTTGGATGCGGTCTTTACCGATGAAAACGGGGATAAGATTTACATCAAAAACAATTATCTCATTTGGAAAGAGTACGCAATATTCAGACAAAAATTGATACAAAAATTGTTGAAATGTCCGCAATATTTCTATCAAACATTATTACACAATGAATTGAATTCGTGGCAAAAGTTTAGAGAAGACATCAAAACATATGATGTGATCAATTTCAAAGAGGATCCCATACCTGATCCCAAACACATACCAACAACTGTCACAACAGTTAGCACTACAACTGTATCCACACTTAAGCCAACTTCACCGCCAAATCTAATGATCTTTTATGGTTTAATCGGCGGTAATATTCATAATCAAAATCTAATTTTATAATAATTATAGTATTTGTCATAATTGTATTCAACAAATAGGTGTCATTATATGTGTGATTGTAATCATATGTGTAATCATTGGCTGTTATTATGGTTTCTTAAAACCAAACACTGAAGAGGAAAAAGAAATGAGAAAAATGCGTTTAAGAGAAAAACTCGATTTATTGAAAGCCAAACAATCGTCCGAAACATCCAAACAAAGCCCCGAAAAATCAAACCAAAGTTCAAAACAAAGTCCTAAAAAAGAAATTCATATTTAAATCATCACTAAATTGTTATAACATTTGGATATTTTGCTCATTTTATAATGCATTTATAGTTTTAAATTTTTTGAGTAAAAATCAAATAAAACTCCAATAAATCAAACAAATAACAAATGTTACGTTAAAACGTTGTACTATTAAAAACATAGTCAAAACAAAATAGGTTATAGAATGGCGTGTATTATAAAACTGTACAAACGATTGAAATTAATATAATAATTGATTTTGTTGGTAAACATGGACCGACAATTAAATATGCAAATTAGCTCGCCCTGCTAAAACAATTAAATTAAATTAATTTAGTTTTTTTAAAGTGAAAAACTGGAAAGTCTAAGCGCGCGCACGGGTTTGATTGTTGAACAAACATTGTTAAATTTAAATTACAGTATATATCGCCCCGCCTCCACGCCTCCCCAACCGGGTTAGCGTTAATTTATAGTTATGTTCTGTTTAGTTGGTTAGGTTAGGTAAGGGTATAAAGTGGGGGGGGGTTAGGGGGCGGGCACGCGATGGGGGTTTTGTAAACTAGTTTAATAATCATTTAAATCATGTAAACAATTGATAATGGTGTTTTATTGCTATATTTATTAATTATTATTGTAAAACTAATCGGCGCGTGTTTTATATGCAAATTCAAACATAATTAAGATTAAAGTTATTCAATGACTATTAAATTGTTAGTTTAAAAGCAGTTTAAATAATTTTTGTCATTCATATAAAAACACCACAATTCGTGCCAAACGATTGCGAGGAGAGAAAAATGTGGCAAATATTTTGTTATGTGATGTTTGAGGCGATAGTTGTGGTCACTGTTGATGACACCGTTCAACCACTTTGGGGCCCGTATTTCCCACAACTCTGGGACTCAACGGCCGGCGAAAAGTGTGGCCCAAACCCGGCATACGTTCAACAATTGACAGACTGTGCGGTCGAGAAGTGGGCCATCATATCAAACACACCACCCGTTTTTGATGCCAAACAATGTTGTTTTTACATCGATCTTCAGAAAAGTGTGGCCCAAACCCGGCATACGTTCAACAATTGACAGACTGTGCGGTCGAGAAGTGGGCCATCATATCAAACACACCACCCGTTTTTGATGCCAAACAATGTTGTTTTTACATCGATCTTCTCTGTCCAGCTTATTATATTGTATGTGCTCTCTCTCTCTCTCTCTCTCTCTCTCTCTCTCTAAAATTATGGTCATTTTGTTTGGACATTAGATGCGGAAAAGCTGTGAAAACGAAAACTTGTTGACAGAAGTAATAATCGCCAAAATAACAGAAACTGAAGCAATGATTCGCAGAAATTGTACACAAAATGGTATTTCTGTGCGAAAAAAGTTTTGCGATTCACTGAAACCAAAAGCGGTGACCGAAACCAAATGCCAACACTATTTAGGCCAGTATTGCGCGGGCGGTAACGGCAACTGGTCTGGTGTTGTCGACTGGCCACC